CTGACAGTGGGCGGGTTTCACAAACCAAAACAGAGACCGACATTCCGGCCCGGAACGCACATTTTCAAAGGAGAATAACTGACTGTAGCATTGTTTTTCAGATTAACAAATATGTTAACTTAGCATGTTTCTTAAATATCTGCAAACATATTATGGTATTTTTATGCTTTAGTAGAGTCAAAAACTTACATACAGCACCTTTAAATAATTAAGTTCACTTGTTCGTTTTACTTAGACACATTATAGCTAATGTAGGTTAGCCTCTTAATAAAATCACTATATGTTCACTATATCATCAACAACAAATAAACCATTTATTATCTGATGCAAATTTTTTCATGTATTTATTGCTTTAAGGAATGTGTTTTAGAAATGCAAAATCAAAGCAGCCAGAGTAAAATTAAAACTTGAAAACTCAAGGGTCAAGAGCCCAACTAAAGCAAACACTGATCTCTATCACAGTGATATCAGACTTTACTAAACTTTTACTTTTCACAAAAACATTAACATCTAAACCTCTGTTAAGTCTCAACAAGAAATTTTTGTATGGACATTATTATGTAATAGTATGAAATGAAGTTAAACTGGTAAGTGAAGCTGCTGAAATCTTGAGAGATGGACAAAATGAAGAGAGAATTATCGACCAATCAGTGCATTAGTTCTCTTGTTGCCAGGCAGAACTGTTTAGTCAAGATCATTTAAGTAAAGACAACATTTGGGTTTACAGTGACTAAGATATATTATTGGGAAATATAGTGACAATTGATATTTTTATGCATTTTATGTAAGTAGTCTGCTATATTGTCTATCTAAATATCAGCAAAGAGCATAAGTTTGGGCCTCTTAATAAGTTTTTTTTTCTTTCTGTAGTATGATAATATGAGCCATAAAAGCTGGATGTATTAATTTATATGATACTCACAAAAAAAAAAACATATGCAAACTGTTTAAAAAAAAAAGATTTTAAAATGTTTTGTCTAAATGTTTAATAAACTGTTAATTAAAAAATCGGGACTTTTATTTCAAATGTATTATGTCATTCAATGCCATGCTTCATTTTTGCACTTGCTTCACTACAGAAACGCTACAAAAGGCGATGTCCATTGGAATGAACGCTGGGTCGCTGAGTTTGAAAGTCTTCCAAAAGCACTTTACTTTAAGAATCATAGAAAGGCGTGTGCTTCTGGTGATTTGGGTTGACATTTTTGACCACTGGATCAAATCCCATTGATTAGAAGACCCTCTCCAGCTTTGCTGACAGAGAACGGTCTCCGTGGCGACATCCAGGCTGATGGCGCGCGCTCTCTCTCTCCCGGCCCCCCACCCCCTTCCACATGGAGCCCAAGCGCACACGAAACCTGCGCGCAGGTCTCAGCTGAGTATCATTTGCTTTAGAAGTGCCTTGAGCGCTCATCGCGCATCTTATTGACTGCTAGTTGTGAGAGAACGCTACAGAATCAAGCACTATTTTATCCAGTTTGCTTGTAGATTGATGGTATGAACTATCAAATGATTTTAGGAGATACTTTTATTACTTTTTCTCCTCATGAATCTTACTCGACGCAACAGGCAGTTGCAGAAAGTGAGTTGATGCCATAAGAGTCTCGACTGTCGTCGGCTTCAGTTTTCTGCGTCTCCGCTCAGGATGAACGGAACGTTTTTTAACCACACGGCGTTTACGCACGGCGTTCTGCTCAACCGCAGTCAAGAGCTCGCGGGGACACTAGTTGATTGCTGCACGGGGAACGGGAGCGAGGTAACCGCAAACGACGGTGGCGGGTCTTTAGTTCTGGCTCAGGACGAACGCAAGCTGTTCGTTACGCGCGTGGTGCAGATCGCGGTGCTGTGCGTTCTTTCACTCACCGTGATGTTCGGGATCTTCTTTCTCGGTTGCAACCTCATGATCAAGTCCGAAAGTATGATCAACTTCCTAGTCAAGGACCGGAGACCATCCAAAGACGTCGAGGCAGTGATGATCGGACTGAGTTAGCCACGGGTGTCACCTGTTGACACCCGATTGTCCTCAGACTGGAAGCCGAAGATATGCAACTTACATTTTCACTCCCTTCGCGTTCCGGAAAGAAAAGGCGAGGTGGATGAACTGAAGCAAAGATGACAGATATAAAGCTGCACGTTTACGAAATGAGAATGTATTTATTCATGTTTACGTAGCTTTTTGTATTTGAGGTCATTTTGCTTGTGATTTTTTACAGTGAAGTGTTTACACGTTTTTACCTAAAAAAAAATCAAAGTATGTATTTATTGCATTGTGTTTGTTAAAGTCTGCAAATGATAGGCTACCGGGAGGGGGTTGGTCGTGCGAAACGAAAACTGTAGCCTACTTTGGTGCACCTATTCTAAAAGTTGGTTATCTAAAATACTTTTAACAAGTGATAGACGTGTGCTTTTTCGACGGACCCGCACATAATTGGTCGTAATGGAAAGCACAACGTGTTTGTCATGGTGACTTCCTTTGGTGAGCGAAATGTAGCGACAATACAAAACGGTCTAACACGTATCATTACTGAAAACCCTGTTGAAACATTCTTGCATAAAAAAAATGTTAATTTACTAAAACCCTAACAATCTTATATTTTGACTCAAGCCTTGGTAATGGAAAGCACAACGTGTTTGTCATGGTGACTTCCTTTGGTGAGCGAAATGTAGCGACAATACAAAACGGTCTAACACGTATCATTACTGAAAACCCTGTTGAAACATTCTTGCATAAAAAAATGTTAATTACTAAAACCCTAACAATCTTATATTTTGACTCAAGCCTTATTACTGGAAATATTCTGACTTCCCCAGTCCCACCATCCTGGTTTGTACTAGACAATCACTTTCAAAAGCATGTTGTTTTGTGAACGGTGACTTTTGCACCTTGAACTACAGCTTGAATTGTTTTGATTTTGAAGATGTCACAATGTATTTTTCTTAAGTTTAACTTGTTGCCGAGAGCAGTGAGGGGGGAGATGCTCATCTGGTTGCGCACTTGCACGTTTTCAATGCCTCCTTCCCCGATCACACCAGCTGACGTCTCTCCCTCTGCATGCGCGGTGCTCGGTGTATCAGGCACTTTCTAGCTAAAGACCTCAATGCTGCATGGAGTATTTTGTAAAATGTATTGACTGGCAAACTTGAAGTTGTGCAGCATGCTGAATTGAATAAAGCTGTTTAAAACATTTCAGTGCATTTGTTTATTTATCTTTAAAGGCCAGACATTCAGAACTGAAATAACTGGCCAATTCTGGAAAATAAAAACAATTAAAAATCCATAAAAAAAGGTTGCATAAGTAGACTTTCTTATGGTTAAATGCATATCTTACATATTTGCTTCTTCATGCATCTTCAATAAGTTTTTTGTTATTCAATGATGCATTTTATCTGTGGGAATCCTTTTTTCTCTTCATTTTTAATTATGAATTGAACACATGGGCATTAAGAAAACTGATTTTAGAAAATAATAGCATGATAGTATAAAATAATCAGTTAAAATTTTATAAGTCAGAGAAAAGAAATGAATATTTTTTTTTAGGATTCTACAAAATTATATTCTATTGTCCTGAGGTATAGACTACATGTAACCGATGAATCTGTTTGCATTACAAAAAATGCATACAAAATAGGTATTTTACACATATTAAAGTAAAAGACCTTCACTTGAGCGAGTTGTGGAGTATGATGCAACTTTGAAATGTTCAAAGAAGGGCTGTGTTTAGACTGAGTCAAAAGTAATAATTACGTTGCCTAATTTTTCCTTTTGACACTCTCTAAAGCAAATAACAAGGCTTATTCACTCGGCTTTGATGAGAAAAATTATTCTTTGATCATAACTTATTTAAAATAATAATAATTATGCTGCATGCAAAAGCATCTCACCATCTAAGCCAGACTCGCTGTTGCTTTCACAAGAGATGTAAGCAGATCTAAGAAGATGTAGTGATCATTTTAAACATTTGCATTTTAAAGATCAGGCTTAATTATTCTGATTCATTTGGCGTAACATACACACTGATACAAGTATCATGAGGGCCACAGAACGAGTTTGGCACAACATTATACATTGTAAACATAAAGCAATATCTACAATTGTTAAACAAGCGAAGGTGAAGCAAGGAAAACAGGAAGGGGGAAGTGTGAGGAAGGCGTTCAGCATTGTATTTCTGTAGAGGAGATCTGAGCACTGTCTCAGACTTCTGTCTCCTGCTCAACGCTGAGATATGATTTTTACTTCCCTCTTATCCCTTCCTCCATTTCCACTTCTTTTAATGGACTGTAAAAATGGAGATAAGTAGAAGGATGGAAAGAGAGAGAGGAAAAGAAAGAGATTCACAGAGCTAACCTGTTTCAGACAATATTAAATTGTATAAGCAGTGAATCAGCTTTGCAGTGTCAGAGCTGGATGCTTATATACAATAATTGGCCAAATAAAAAATTGAGGAGCATGCACACATGAATTAGTGCACAATTAAAAACATCTGTCTATGATTCTCTCTTTGTGTTTACTGACAGTTTACTACTATTCGCTATTTTCTCTTTATATATATATGTCACAATGCAAAAATCGAATTAATCTCCAAAACTAATATATATATACACAGTATATATAATTAATAATATATAAATAATAATAATATATATATATATATAATTTTTAGAGTATGCATTAGTTTTTTGCATTGTGACTTCATTTTTAAACAGTATACAGCCAAATTCTTATTCTGTTTTTACTCTTCTACATATTTTATTATACATGACCATACTGTACTTTTTTAATGCTTTTATTTACTGCTTTATCTTATAAGTTTTGAGCTAAAATCATGTAAGGATGTGATTTTCAGTCAAATCTAGGAGAATTTCCACCTGATGCAGGAGAGAAATGCAGAAATTTGCTGTGAATGCAGTCAACATAGTGGAAGTGAATGTTTGGAATGCTTTTCTGCAACATTAATATGAACACTAGATAGTACCAAACACTTAGTTCAACTTTAATACACATGAACGTAATAAATGGATGAATAAATAAAACAAACAGAGAGTAGAATACATGGGG